CCGCCTCTAACGCCGACGCGGGGGCCGGCTACGCTGGTGCTATCATCCTAGTCATGTTCCTGGCTGCGTCGCTGCGCTTCGTTGTCACGCTGGAGCATCTATACGACAGAGCGTCCGCTCCGCCATGTCAGTCCTGTCTTAGCATCTTCTCGAGACTGGGGTTCAGTTAGCTAAGAAGGCTCTTCCAACTTTAATAATCTTTACCGCTGTGCCTATCTTCTCCTAGCACGCCGTCTGTTTCATCTTCTCTCGCACAGTTGCACCACTCTCCTCTCCCTCTTTGCGACTTGAGGCGGCATCAGGCTTGAGACCCGAGCTTCTCTGAAGAAAATACCCCTTTCCCGGATCTCTTCTCACCATGGCTTTCATTTCTGACGTCGTTTTCCTCCTCAACATTGTGCTTCTTACAGGTATCCTGGAACGCTAAAGAAGGCGGCTGAACCAGAACACGTTCGTCCTTTCCTCCCTTTCTACCCACTCAGGAACCCGTTAACTGTGTACAACGACAACTATGGACTTCCACCGGCCCCGGACCGACGGGATCGAGGCAATGATTTCATCGGCATCGACTACCATCGAGGTTCAAGGACCGGATCTGTCTCACCCAGAGGTAGAATCGACTTCAACCATTGCACCCTATTACTCAGGCGTGAACGGTATCAACCAGGCCCAGAATATGCTGTTCAAGGAAGCTCTGTGGTGGACCCTGGGCATCATCGCCCTCGTCGTCTTGACCATCCGCATACTGGAGATTTTCTGGGCACAGCTGCGGTTGATCTCGGCCATGTCCGTCACCCGAGAGAAGCAAGGATACTGGAGAATATCGCAGTGGAGTTGGATGCCCGCTGCGAAGAAGCATGTCATTTACGCGCCGCTGTGGAAAAAGCGACACAGTAGGGGATTTCGCCTCTCCTCGGCTATCAGCGTCGGCACCCTGCCCTCGCGGTTGCACATGGCCCTCCTCGTCGTCTACCTGGGCAGTAACATCACATATATGTTCGTCCTAAACTGGGCTAATGACAACTGCTACGCCTTCTGCGCCGAGCTGCGAGGCCGCTCGGGCACCTTGGCTCTCGTCAACATGGTGCCGCTCATCATCCTGGCCGGGCGGAACAACCCGCTCATCCCTGTCCTCAAGATCAGTTTTGATACATGTAATCTGTTGCACCGATGGATTGGCCGCATTGTGGTGCTCGAGGTGGTCATTCACAGCATCGCCTGGGCGATTGTGGCTGTCGCAGATAACGGTTGGGAGTATGTCAGGCGTGCCATTACGGGCGGCCTTTTCATCGGGTCCGGCACACTGGGCACGGTTGCTGTGGTTATGATGCTCATTCAGTCCCTGTCATCCATCCGCTACGCTTTCTACGAGACCTTCCTCAACACCCACATTATCCTGGCAACCATTGCCTTTGTGTGCACCTGGGCTCATTGCACATCTGCCAGTATCCCGGGAGGTCTTCCTGAGCTATCCTGGATCATGACCATTATGGCCCTCTGGTTCGCTGACCGCCTTGCCCGCGTGATACGCCTTGCTCAAGCAAACTGGTCCGGAAGAGGCCTTACGTATGCTATATGCGAGCCCATGTCGGGAGAAGTCACACGAGTGACGCTGACGCTCCCAAAGTACATGGACATCAAGCCTGGCACGCACGCGTACTTAAGGTTCTGGGGTGTCAACTCCTGGGAGAGCCACCCATTCTCCATCGCCTGGGTCAACCACCTGTCCAGCACACAGCTGCCCACCTCAGAGAAGGAACCTCTCGCCTCCCTGGACCAGGCCAATGTATCGACGGCCGTGTCATTCATCGTCGGCGCACAAACGGGCATGACCCGCAAGCTCTTCAACAGGGCGAGCCAGGCCGGCCATAGCATCCGGCTCAAGGCTGCCTTCGAGGGTCCCTATGCCGGACACCACAGCCTCGACTCATACGGCCATGCCGTTCTCTTTGCCGGCTCCACGGGCATCACCCACCAACTCTCGTACATCCGACACCTACTCGAGGGCTACAACGCAGGCATCGTGGCCACACGCCGCATCACTCTCGTCTGGATCATCCGCGAGTATGAGTCACTCGAGTGGGTTCGCCCCTATATGGACACGATCCTGAGCATTCCTCATCGGAAGGACATCCTCTGCCTCCATGTCTTTGTCACGCGGCCCCGGAACCCGCGCGACATCACCAACGCCAGCACCACGGTGCGAATGTACACTGGACGGCCTAACGTGCTGGCCTTGCTCGCCAAGGAGATCGAAGAACAGGTCGGCGCCATGTGCGTCACGGTTTGCGGACCTGGTGGGCTGGCTGATGACGTGAGAGGTGCGGTAGGCGCGATGCAGGCGGAGACGGTGGTGGACTTCGTTGAGGAGAGCTTTACATGGTGATTGCTGCGTGGCGAGACAGCAGCTGACTGGCTTTGTTGTGCTTTTGTACATATTTCTGTGGTAACGCAGGTTCCCATCTCTTTGTTATAGCTCCGTCGTCCGGCTTTGTGTTCGTGCCTTCCATCCGGGGTGCCAGTCCAGGCAGTTCTACACCGTCTCGTCCCAAACATGTCGCAAATGCTTTCTATAATCCCCTAGGGCAATATACTGCAGGACGGGTGATATGAAGTCATCGTAGGGGACGGCCGAGAGCTGGTAGCGTCTGTATATGGTAAAGGTCAAGTCGCAGTTGTCATGCGCGTCGGATAGGATGAAGTCTTTTGCATGACTGTGCCAGTTGGCGCGCAGGGCCGCCAATGTCCATGATGAATAGCTGGACGGCGGCGAGGGGAATCATGGCCGCGGCCCAGAGCATGGTCCTTGAGCATAGCGACGCTGCGGTGTGGTGCAGTCTTAGGAATACGAAGGACCGGTTTAAGGTGTGAATACAACTCTCTGGCCGCGCAACAATAAAAAGCCCAATTGTATCGAACAGAAAGAGACCCAGAGGCCGAATCAACCCAGTGGCAGTGTTTCCGGCCGCTTGTTCGATGCAAGCGCAAAGTGAAACACGAATAGAAGGAAGTCACCGTTAGCCGTAGTTGGCATGTCAAGGTGGAAAAGGAGAGGGTTTCGAAACAACACCGTCGTCAACGGGGAAGTCAGATCGTCGAATGTTGCATATGCGGTAGGGATGAGATTTGGCGCAGATATCGAACAATATAAAAAGAATAGTTATTCGATGCCCTGGCCTTATTATAACTAATCACAATTGTCATTCTTCCTCCGTAGGAGAAAACATTGCATATAGAAAGTTCGGTATTAAGGTAACGAATACTAGTAACTTCACTACCTCGACCAGGTAATTTGCTTGATAGCTATAATACAACGAAAGCAGATTTATTAAGATCGAGGCCAAGATTCAAGTACGTAAGATATATGTCAGGACACCAATGAGATGCGGTTACAAATAGTTTGCCACGAAATTAAGACATTATATTATATATTATAAGGCTCTTAATAATTGCATTAAACTCTATAAGAATTCTATAGGGTTAGAAATTAAGTACTAATTAGATAGTTAAGTGCCCCCTCTATTACTAAAAGTAAAGCTATAGTAATTTTACTATATACCTTCTTTTAAGTAAAAGAGGAAAATAGGGGCAATAGCCTAATTAAGGCGCATAAAAGTCCTATTTTACTTAAATTTAGTGCTAGAATAATGATGTAGATTATTTCTGCGCAATAATGTTAGGGACAAGTCAGATACAAACGCTCCCAGTAAGCTCACATGTTTATGGCTGCGTCACACTCTGCCACGTTGCATTCTGGATAATCGTAGCCGCGCAACCTGATTCTCAGACATAGATAGCAGATATAAGACAACCTCGCTCTCTTTGTGCCTCTGGTGACGTAGGAGAAGTAGCCCAAGTCAGAAGTCTCAATCAGAAGGCGTCGGAAGGTGAATCTTTCGAAATATACTTGCCATTCGGAAGAAACGCAAGAACAACGGGCAAGTTTTGTGTCTCGATGTGGCTGTTGTGGAATGACATTTCCCCAGATTTGCAATCGAAGTTCCATAGGGAGCAACGCCCATAGAGTGGGAGCGGGGCTCATCATGTCGCTGGATGATGAAGCCATGCTGGAATACCCTCTGTGTTGTTGTGATTGAGTATGGGACGAGACTGCGGCAGTCGGTAGTATTTATGATAGGTCGACTAAAAACTCTATATTGACGATAGTTTCTTGTTTTTCTTGATGAGTCTTGTGAGTGACTGGAAATCCAGAAATGAGCTTCTAGTGATGACGGGAATTCAGGCGGTTTTTTCCGTTTATACTTTAGGCATCGCACATGCCTATTTGCGCAGGCTGCAAGCAAGTCTTGTCAAACTTTATATCACGAAAGAAAATATGTTGTAGCTCCGAGGGTTTGAAAGAAAACATGGTCCTTTGTTGACCGTTCGACTTCAGTGAGTCAAGTCATACAAGCCCCTCTCAGTTGTCCATCGTCCTTTAAGGTTCCGGTACCCTCTCCACACAGAAATAATCCAACTCGTACCACTTGTAGGGCGCAGCGTCCCCTGAGCTGGCATATTCTCCATCCCATAGCTCGCAAATCGTATCGCCATAAGCAAAGAGATTACATCTCGCATCGTCAATGCAGAGCTGCACGCACTGATCAAGTGTATACTCTCCGGCATGATTATAGCCCAATCTCTTGCCCCGTAGTGTGATAGCTAGGTGCGACTATCACACTTAACCTCTGAATATAAAACCTATAAATTCTTAACTTAATATTTAAAAATTAGTCAGTTTATCATAATAATACTCTCTCCCCAGTATATCAACAACTGATTAGACGACTCTAACAAGCATCCTAAACCTAAATAGATATGGAAAATACCGTAAAGAGGGTAAACGAGTATGACTTCTTAGCTCTCGAGCTTATATAGTTCTTTCGCTTAGTTGGAAATACAAGCCAAGACCCCAACAGGCTGAATACATTATAGCTGAGCCTTAAGAGATTCCAACGCTGCCTCAAGTCCAACATGTTGATGCCGAACATGTAGTTGGTCTACCGTGATAGTCCGCTCTGGAACAGTTTGCCCCAGTCCGGGAATTCCTCACTGAACCTGAGCTGGTCTGCCATTTCCGTTCCGAACGCTCCGAAAGTCTTAGCAAAAGATTCATCGGAGACCTCTCCGTATATGGCACTTCTGCTGGTTGTCTTCTCCCATGCTTCCAGGGCTCGTGATATCGGTACGTATTCTGTGATGATGGGAATGAATTTGCCATGCGTCTTTTCTGGCTGCTCCAACACAGCCCTTACGACAACGCCAGTGTTGATGCGAGAGTCTCCTGCAACAGGCAATAGAGCGGTTTCTTTGCTCGACAGGAGCCACGCATGCTTTTCGATGCTCGGCTACAAGTGGAGTTCCAAATGATCAGAAAACTACGTCAATGAAAGTCCCTATACTCGTGACGGTCACTTACAACGAAATGCGGTTTGAACAATTCGAAAGTAAAGTTAGACACATACCACCCTAGCCAGACTACCGTAGTCTTTACTGCTAAGCTTGGATAGTGCTCCTAGATGTAGTCGACTGCTTCGTGCTTTGAGTCCAAGTGCGGAACCTTAAAGCGACCCCCCCGATAACTTGGACACTGGCGGCAGCTAGCTACATATAAAATGAGTAAGGATTGGAGTTACTGCTGCCGCCTTTGCAGCTTTGATAAGCTGGTCACGCTCGTGGTCAGCTGCCGCTTGCAGACTGGGCTCAACAACGGCCAATTCGCTAAATGCAACAGTCAGGTCCAACAACTCTTGAGTAGCATAGAAGTGGTGACCAACCCAAAGTTGCTCACGCAAAATATGACAGTGGCTCCCTATGTCGAATTGGTGTCAGAAAAAGATATCTGAGATGTTTAAAAACACTAACTTCGAAGGCTTTAACAAGACTTGTTTCATCATCGGGGTCGGCATGGACTACCTGCACACCCTACAAGTGTAATGAATGATCAGCTAGGAAGGTGAGATCGGGGTAATAATAAATTTCGGATACCTTCGCTGCGAGCTTTTTCGCTGCTTCACTGGAAGGATTTCGGGAGATACAGCGAACCTGCCATTTAGAGCTCTCCAGTAGTGCTTGGCTCACGGAACCCCCCTGGGTTCCTGTGGCGCCGAGAACAGCAACAATAGGCATTTTGATAAGTGGAAATAGATCAAGAATAGCTTTTTAGGAGCAAAGGAGTATTTAGGTCTCAGTATTGAGTGGAACTCGTGGGAAGGCAATGATGACTGGCTTACCACGGGGTATGTCTATTAAATATCCCTGCGATAATTATGAACGGGGAGACGTATACCACCGGTAGTTATGAGACGTCTTGTATTCGGACAAATAGGAAAAGCCGGCTTAATCAGATCATTTGCCATATGTTGCGTTGATTAACAGAAAACCAAACTCCTTATTGATAATGTCGGCATATGCCGAGGACGTAGAAAACGTTGGATACGAACGGAGCGGAAATTGCTGAACCGGGTTGGTTAGTTTGGAGCTAATGTATACTCCGCCGGTGGATGCGTTACAGTAGTGGAGCCTAACCTCTGTGCAATGTTGGAAAATCCGGGAATCCCCCTTATCTTCAAGATTCAGACTGTTAGTCTGAAGGTCCTAGATAAAATTAGCTAGAGATATAAACCCAAGAAGAACTCTTATCTTAAAAGGAATAATTAAGTTTTTATAAAAAAATATACTTTTACCTAGCACTACTACGCAATATAAACAACATGCAATTAACCATGTTACAGTGGGCGTGCAAAAGTTCCGACACATTCCGGATCCACCCCAACTACCTCGATCTCATACTGCCATTTCGGATTGCAATTGCATGGGCAATAATTCTTCAATTTAGATAATATATATATCAATCTGTAGAGACTTAAAAGGAGATTCCAGAAATATAGTTTAATACTTGGTATAATAGCCATTTGCGTTGTAACAGGCGTTCAACCGGTCGGGCATCGATTTTATCACGTTTTTGACCACTTCATCTTCGACCTCCGACCAAAGCTCCTCTGCAGCTTCAATCAGCCGGGCCAAAGCTGCTGCAGACTTTGGATAAGCAGCAATTTCAGGATATCTATCGCATATCCTCTTCTTCAGGACTTTCCATAGATTTTCAATGGGGTTGAGATCAGGGCTGTATGGCGGCCAGTCAGCAAGAAAGACTCCTGTTCTTCTTGCCCAGGGCAGCAGCCAATTCTGAACTTTCCGGCATTTATATGTACGGGCGTTGTCGTGCTGAAAAGTCTCTCCTTCCTCGACCAGTCCGGGAAGATAAGACTGTAAACAGGATAGAATAATCCTTCCTGTTACGCCTCCCCTCTCAGACTCAGGATCGCCGGCAAGAGGGACGATCCTAGACGGCTTATCATAGTGAATTGCACCAAAGAACATCTGAGAATGTCTGGCAGGCCGTCTACAGGGCTGCACCTTATCTTGATGGAGTCTCTCACCCTGTGGTGTTGTCAAAAGAAGCTTCTGAAATAGAAGGGGCTAGACTTACAGCAGAGTAAAATGACCACTTGGTATAGTCACCGTCTGTACGGTCGATAGAGACCTCATCAGAAAACCACCAGCTATACCAAAAAGACTCATCTTCATGACGATATTTTTCACAGAAAGCTTTTCTCAATTGAGCACTTTCTTCGCTGAGAAACGGGCGTCGAAGTGCAAGCTTGTGTTGTATCTTCTGATTGATAAGCCAGCGACGAATTGTGCTTCTTTTGCAGTTCAAACAGGTGCAATCAATTATTTCTTGGTATGAGATAAAAGCGTTTCTTCCAATGAGTATTTTGATATGATTTTTATCTATATCTGATAGTCGTGATGGCCTTCCAGAGCGAGGTAAATCTTTTGCTGATTGTTGGTGACGGTACCGTCGAATGACTCCATAGATCGCGTGCCGACTTAGCCCCTCACTGTCTGCGATATCCTGCACGCGAACACCTGATTCGTACATCGTCACAAACCTCGTTCTTTTGCAAGGAGAATGATGTGTTTTTTGCCGTATTCGAGGCATCTTTTCCTATAGAAATAACGCGATGAAGTTGTGGTGTTGATGTTGATGTTTAATTGAAAGCGGGGTCCGGACCTCGGATGTGTCGGAACTTTTGCACGGGACTGTAAACTGAATAAAAATGCAGAGGGCATCCCTGGCGATTAGGGGAACTACAAGTGTAGGTAGATACACATGGCATTTGGCTTGAAATAGTCGCCACTAGGAGGGAGTTCCACAGAAACTGCATTTAATCGTTATCTTGCTACGCTTATCTTTGTTGAATCCAAATCTCTGTAGCGAGGGACCTCGTGCTGTTTTGCTCCCAGCACAAACAATGCTCTGAATCAACCCTGCTCTGTCGTTATTATTACGCTCACAGCTTCTAATGATGCACTCACTACCTGATTCTGCGGTTATGGCTTCTGTCTCAGCCACAAATCTCCCACTAGTAATCAAGAGCACCAATCTATAAAGCGGTCCTCCTCCTTTCTATTTGCACGGCCTTCCCAGATAGCCGCCCCCACGCGAAACAGCGTCGCCATCCATGACCGTTGTGATCGCATCGCAAGCAAAAATTCATACGTTCTAAGTGGTGATTCTCTACCATGCTAATCTCATCAATGATGGGAACTTCAGTACCTCTCAGACGACCCGCAACAAAGTTGCGAAATCCGTCTTTTTTCAATCTTTCTAGCGGATATTTATGAAAATCGGGTGTCCAACGTAAGACCAAGTCGACATGCTGTTGACTTGAACCGCAGAACGACCGGTGGGAGCAACGACGTTAACCTTTTTGTGTCTCGCTTGAAGCTCTTTAACGACAACTTTTAAGACGGTGGACTTGCCGCAGCCTGCTGAGCCGGTGAAGAAGACATTGCTTCCGCCCATAATCAAGTCGATAAGATCTTGCTGTTCGCGACAGAGCCTTGGAGAGACGTTAGATGTGGGTGCCGGTACATCATGCGATATATCCGATAGATTCTGCGACAAAATAACCATGAAAACGTTAGTCTTGTCGTTGAGGTACTAGATTCTGATTTCCGCTTTTGCTGATATGATATTAACAAAACGACTTTCAGGCAAAGGTCGTCCCTAGCATAAGGAAGGTTCGATCATATAACGTGCTGTATGAAATGACCCCGCACAAAGTCTATATTAACTCCGGCTGTAAGAGTACCGGGCTTTTTGATTGGGCGTTGATATTAGCGAAACATATTGGTGTCTTGAAATTGTCCATTTATACTATAAAAAACTTCCCATCTAGTCATTATTGCTAAAAGCATCCACGACAGAGATAGAGCATACATGGCCATTGAAATAGGGAACTTCTTCAAATAGTTTACGCCATCAGCGTTGGGGCAGCATCTAGAGGCCCAACACCGATGACGGGCGTTGACCTAGCTCACCTACTCGGCTTCCCGCATGGGTAGCGGCAAGCAGCCCAATTTGAATGACAAATGCTAGACACTCTTATTGTCATTCGTTCCACTGAAACCCGTCGTGAGATTCATTGAAGGGGCGTCGTTTGGCACCAGTGGAATGTCCCAGCCCGAAGCCTGCAGCTTGACTCCGAATTGTCTGGCATGCGCTGGGAATGCAAAATTGTTCAAGAAGTAATTCACTACGCTTGTGTCGAAACTCAAATACTTCCGGATATCCTCCGCGAGAAGAGAAAGGAGACTATATAGAGAGCGCATCTTCACCACGCAACAGATTGTCGTGACACTGGCTAATGTTCGTCATGTACTGGATGGAAAAGCAGGATCTTTTCTACTGTTATGCAGCGCGCTCCTTTCTCCCCGTTCTTTCTTCTTACACGTTATGTTCTCGCCTACGGATATGCTTCCGTTCGTCCGGTGAGGCTGACGTGCCATTTTGAGTTGATGCTGGTTGGTCTCTTCGTACTCCTGCCAATGACTATCTGCAACAGAAGGCCTCATTATAACAATTGACAGTCTTGATTCACCAATTAGAGAGTCTCCCGTTGCTTTATTCCCAAAGGTTAGCAGCAGGCTTCTCCATCTGAGGGACTGACAGGGTGATCTGCCGAGCGAAAACGCGCCCCGTTTTGAGTACCTGAGTGGAGGTAGAAATCTAAAGGCTTTGATTAGTCCGAAAGACGAAACGCGGCAGGCGTATCGCAAATGCAGGAGGCCGACCACCATTAGCAGCGTGGTCATTGGGCTTTAGGGATAAGATTGGTTTTATCGCTTCTAATGATTTCAAATAACTTTTCAGAACCGATATTTAATCTCAAATACCTCTAAATTTCTTTATTATGGTATATTACTTCGTTTTCTGATGGTCTTTGCCTGCGGTATATACTAGAAAACATGGCCTACTTGGCGATCCAGGGACCAGCATGTAGCAGGCACTTCACATGAAGTATAAAATCAACGATTATCTCTTTATAATCCGTATAATCGGTCTTTCAAAGACTCAAATAGCATTAAGATAGTCAGCTATAAACCCCAAATCTGCCGATAACTGATAACTAATATGTATAGCATCTCCGAAGTAGGGTATACTAAGGAGAAAATCAGCCCTGCCCTTTCTGCAGCTATCTATATGTAACTGCAGCAGGTGTCTTCTAGCATCTTAAGAATAACGGCTATCCTAAAGCTCCTTTAACCAGGATAATAGTTTATAAAGCAGTTAAAAAGCAGGATCCTAATGGCTTACTTACTCTGAAGCTGCTTAACTAGTTTAAGTCTGATGGCTTTAAGGCTATTGAAAGATCCTAGAATGCAATTACTAGAACTTTCAATTGCTTTCTCTGTTGGGCTTATTTTAAGAGCTTTAAATCTCTTAATTAACATCTTTAATTGCTAAAGTATATGTAAAAGTTATATTATTGCCTAAAAAAGTGTTATAGTAAGAGATTTAGTATGCTTGCTGCCGTAACTAATTACCTAGAAAGTAAATAATGTAATTTTATGTGCTTCAAGAATGTTCAGGAGGCTGTAAGTCGAATTTTCGACACTGGTTATATAATCGCTTTTTAACATGTATTTGATTAACACGTGAGAATGAATCTCAACCAGGCAATAGAGCAGTTCAGAATATCACTATTATATACTAACTAACCCAAACTAGACACTAAATATAATATAAAAATTATTTATAATATAACCCTTACTTATAAAATAAAGCTTATTAATATTAAATAAAAGCAAATACTAAGACCCTTAGATTTATCTTATTTATATCTTTATAAATCCTATTTGCTAGTTAGTATTATATTTATCTTATAAATTATTAACTTTATTATTAACTCTAAGTATTATAGCTAATTGGAATTTAAAGGTAAAGCTATTTTTAAATATATAGAGCCTGCACTTAACTAATAATAATTTTTATAATTAAGATCTATTTATTTTTAAAAGTATATAGCTACTATTTATATTATAGGTATACTAATTATAGCTAATTTAGCCTGTAATATAAGAGATATTTCTTAAGGTAAAGTACTAACTAATATATATAATTATAATAACTATAAAAGTAATAAAAGAATTATAAGGATATTAAGAAGTAACCTCTTATATTAATAATAAGTAATTCTTAATAATATTACTCTTTATCTTAATATATACTGCTATTAATATATAGAGATTAAAGCATAAATAACTATATAAATATATAATTATTAAAGATAAAATAATAGCAGATACTTAATATAAGTAAAATACATAGTAAGAAGTAATAGCTAGAGATATAGGCTTACTATATAGCACTTTTTATAACTTATATCTTCCTCCTATTATATCTTTAGTTAATTATAATTATCCCATCTAGCAGTTAGATAATTTAAAGAGCAGTTTAGATATATAGCTAGATAATAACTAAAATATAAGTAACTTTCTACCTCTACCTATTAAATATTATGTGTATTCGGTCTATTAATCCAGATTGGTATATTTATATCCTGTTAAACTCTGCCCCTTAGAGGTTTTACTATTTCAGTTATAATCTTAAAGTATCCCTACTTGCACGTGAGACCCCAGCACCTGTTTAACACTATTCCGTACACAGGGGCTTCAAGGCGTGTAGTGACGCTTACAACAAACAAACAATGCAGGCCAGCAATTCAAAACGATGGGAACGAATGGGCAATCATTGGCTGTTGTGCCTTCCTCGGTTATGAGATGACAGGCTTATCTGCCCACCATGTCAGCATTAAGTCGTTGTTAGCGCATATCGGCCTACTCCGCGGAGATCGCTGATACCTGACTAGGCTGTATTATTAATTAACCCTTAAAGTACTGTTCTGGCTGAAATTAGAGGCCGCCTAGCTTTCTATGTAAATTTTAGAAGTAAGGACTAGCTACAGGTAATATAGCTTAATATAATATATTTATGCCCTGTTGAGACTGTGATAATTTACTTAATATTCTTATTATAGCTATTAGTATTACTTATTATTATTAAAAAAGAAAGAGAGAAAAATAGCTAATTATAGCTATAAGAAAGTTATTTATTTATTATCTTAAACCCTATATAATATATATAGCTAGGGCGAGATTCTTACTTTAAAAAAGTAGTTAGCTATTAAGCCTATGTTTTTACTTTTTTTATTAATAAATAACTATTACTGCCTTTATTAAGATAATTTATAATTAAGGAAGAAAATATTAAAAACTTATTACCTCTTAAATATAAAGCTTTTATATAATAATTAAGGTTTTAAATAAGGAAACTAGTCTATATTAGGTTTATATTTACAGATTGCATAAGGCATTATACTAAGCTAATTAGGTATTATATCTCTTAATAATTAAGTAATACTTATTAGGCTTATTAATATAAAGAAGTTATATTAATAGCTAGTAAGCTAAGTTCTATAAAAGTGCTAATAAATATAGTTTATATATTAAAGGTAGCCTTATAGCTTAGTAAGAAATATTAGTAATTTAAGAGTTAGATCTTTAAGGATTACTAGTAATTTATAATAATCTAGCCTTAGAGTATTATAATTTAAGTAATTTAGTAGAAGAGGATTATTACTAGGATAAGTAGTCCTTCTGTAATTGGTGGAAATTATAGGGGCCACGTGATGTAGCTGCGTGGGCTGTAACAAGGAGCTAATAAGATAAGAAATAATAAACTTAAAAAATAATATAAAAGAGAAAATAAAATAGCTTATAAATATTTAAGAATTATATTAATATAATATAAAGCTTATAAAAAAATTAGAATTTTAATTTATAATTTTATTAGCTTATATAGGCTATTAAATATTAATTTTAAATATTAAAAAAGTAATTTTTTTATAATTCTTTAATAATTAAAGGAATATTTTATAACTTATATAAGATATTTTTTATATTTATTTACGTAATTATATTTAAAATTTAATGAATAATTTTAAAGATAATTTTATTTATATTTTAAAATAATATTTTAATTAAAGAAAATAAATAATATTTTAATATTCTTATAAATTAGTTAGAATTTTTAAGAAGTTTTTATATATTATAAATATATTAATAGAATATAAATAAAGCTTAAAGTATATACTTAAAGCTAATATAAGTTATAAGATTAAACTTTAAATATTTAAAATATTTATTTAAAAAAGCTTTTATTTATTAAATAAATTAATTAGAATTTTTTAATAATTATATTTAAAATATTTAAAATATAAATATATTATATAAGAATATATATAAATTCTATAAGCTATATATAAGCTTTAAACTTAAAGTATATTACTTAGTAAATCCTTAAAATTTAAAAAATATAATTCTTAAGGAAAATGTTATAAATTAAAATAATTAATTATAAAAGAATCCAATAAACTTAAAAAAAGTATTTTTAAATAGTCCTTTTTATAAAGAATATTTAAATTCTTTATATTAATTACTAATTAAGCTAGATCTTATATAATAGCTATAATAAGAGGAATTTTCCCTATCACGTGACCTTTCCATCCCAAATTTAGTGTGATCCGTCTGTCTCACCCTTTCGTGCATGTCCCACGGTTTTGTGCCCAACTAAGCTTGCTTAGTTGGCCCCCCCCCCCCCGGCTCGAGCCAACGGGTATTACTAACGATAGCTCCAATTGCCCTGATCCCCTTGTCGTGACCATCTTGGAGGCACTGAGGAGATAAACCATTCTGGAGTCGAATTGCGCCCGTAAAATGCCATTATTCAGGTATACAATCTCCCATACCATCTCACCCTGTCCCTCCACTTAACTCATCATGTACCTGCAGTTACTTAACCGCCCTTAGTGCTAGACCTTACTCTGCGATGGCGGCATGCCAATCTCCGTAGATGAAGCAGCCTTCAAGTCCCCATCTAATAGAGGTCTTCTTCCCTTCGATGAGGATATGTACGACAGAGCGGCGACAACGAGCAGCCCTGCGCCTGCAATCGGACGCCTGCATCTCGTGTTAGCAGATGGCACGTCTGAGGCGGATTAAAACTGTACCAGTTTCGGTTGAGGGTCTCACGGAAGTGAGGGTTGGGTGGTGGGGTCTGCTGACTTCCGGGGCCGCCGATGTCGCCATCGCTGCTGACGCCGGATTGCTGCCGGACCTGGAGAACTGGGGCCGCTCTGGTAACGGGACGAATATAACAGCGGAGTATGTTAACAGAGGCTCGAGGGACGGCCATGTTGAAATTGGGAGTTTCTGAACCGACTCGATTGAGACCAGAAGACGCGTAGGAAATGAAGGAAATTAGATTTGATCGAGTTCCTGGAGAGCGTATTATTTGGCCTTCCCATCGAGATCACGTGGATGGCCTCGGAAGATTCATCCTATGATGGAGAAATGACGTCCGCTTCCCCCGCAAACTCATCTATTGTGAGTGGCTCGTCCCTCTTGCTTTATTTCTGCCTTTGGCTCGCCACCTCTTCGTTTCTGCCTTACTTGCGCATCTACCATGTTCTGAGCACTGAGATCCTATGGGTCAGCTGGTCGTACTCGCTCGTTGTCTAACGTGTATTTCTAGAGCTATGATGGACTTTGTTGGGCTACAGCCTCCAAATCCTTTCTCTCTAGCTACATGACAGGAACGAGATGTAGTATAAACAGGAGGTTAATGGACTTTCATCCTGTTAATAGTAATGTCTTTTGAGGTGAATTAATGCTGGATAGGAAGAATTTGGCTGGATTGATTGCTCTGCCTTATGGATAAAACTCCTCTTTATCGTCAATCATGGTCTTTGTTGGCTGTGCATTATTCGGTTCTAACCCCAAGGTCCCAGGAACGAAAACCTCATTCGCGTTCGCAGCCTCCTTCAGATCCAACTGTTAATATCTTGCACCATCACTCTGCCTGCGACTGTTCACGACACCACTGCGCTCCGTAGTCTGGGCACCTGAGCTACCATTTCGGCACCGTGTAATATAGACCAGGCGGTTGATGATGCTAAACTCGAGCTTTAGCTTAACACTACCTCCTCAGTGCCCATAAGCCTCAATTCTCATACTAACAGCGGGGTCGGTCTAATTAAAATGCCTCAAACAAGAAGTACTTCCTTGCCCACCTAATTTCTAGTATAATAAAAGTACTAGCAATTCCCGTTGTTACAGAGAGGAACCTTTTATATACTTGTCAAACCGCCGGATGCCAATTAGCAGGGCATTTTGGTCAAAGGAGCTGCTCTTCCTAAAATAGAAGAGTTATATAATATTTTACCCCTCTTTTAGAGATTAGCTAGGCTATATTAGAAAGGCCCTAGTCAGGTAGTTCAATTAATTAATAAACGGTTCAACAATACTACACTAATAATCAGTCTGGCCCCTTCTTACATTACCGTCATCCTCCTTAAGAGGCCTCCTTTTTTAGCCTTTTAACCTTACTTAGCCTTGCTGAAAGCCCTAATAAGCAAAGCAATCCGACCTTACAGTATTGAGCACTTATACCTTCCTCACTTATAATAAACCTTTTTTAATTAAAAGATAGCCCCGCTTAGCAAGTATATGTATTTAGAACACTGTGTACAAGTTTTGTAGCGGCTTGATACTAACGCTCCTATGTATCTATCCTGCTTATATAAGGTAGCAGTATGCTAGACTTGCACTATTAACTTGTCTCCACTTCCTGGCATTCACGCCCTGATTTTTAGCCAATAACAGTACTTATTAGTACTTCCCTCACTGAACCAGAAATTACTTATAGACCTAGAAGAGTGTTACAATCCTCGCGGCTACATCACGTGCACCCTACAAATTTCCTTTAATTAACTAATAACTTATACTTTCTCCTTATTTCCATTATAAGCCGCTTAACAAGACTTAGAATTAGACTTATAATTTATATATATATATTAACTTATTATTATAAGTTATTATAAATATATAAAATATACTTAATAGCACTTTTATAAATTTTAATTTACTAATTATTAATATAACTTTAATATATTAATTAAGCCTAATATATATTAAATCTACTATAAAGAAATATAATACTTTAATAATACTTAGTATATATCCTATGCAATCTGCTAATAATAAACCTAGCATAGCTTAGTTTAACATAGTTAGGCCTAACTATTACAAAGAGGGCCGAATTCTGAAAAATCATCTGCTTACAAGGTAGCGCCAAGTACCCAAAGGTCCCCACCTAGACTTTATAAAAACCATATTAATGTAGAGTAAAAGGTGCAAGTGCTCAATACTGTATCTTCTGGCAGACAAGAAGGTGCTCTTTTTGCTATATTTGCACTCTCGCCACTCCATTTAAGTTATATACGTTATTAAATTTGGCTAGGGCATATTTAGTTAAGCAATATAACTATTAATAAGAGCTATATTAGGAAGGAAGGTCTTATAAAGTGCCTGACAAGGGCCGCGGCAGAGGGGATAAGTATAGGCATAATACAACCTCCTTTAGTTGCCTGGGTTAATATAATTCATTTTATAATAATAGAAATTAATATAAGCTTAATTAACTTACTATTAAAAAAGTACTATATTAGCTATGCTATTAGGGCCTTTATTAATAATCTCTTTCTTTAATAATTATACCTCTTATTATTAATAAAGACAGTTAAAAGAAATAATATAAAAACATTATCCTTTTAAGTAATTTAATTAACCTAAAGAAGAAGAAGATAAAAAATTATTAGCTAAATTATATAAAAGAATATTAAGTCTTCTTACCTAGTTATTAGCTATTAAGATAACCTTAATCTTATTAAATTAAAAGCCTGACTTCCCTGCCTTATTGGCCTTTTTAGCATCTATAAGGCTTTTATAAATGCCACAACTAGGCCATGCTAATAAAGGGAGCAGAAGAGGTCTAGTAGTAAGAAAAGATTATTTATAAATATATAATATATTAACTCTAGTAATAGGTTAATAAGAGCAATAATAACACTTTAAGTTAAATATAACGCCTTTATCTTATCCCTAGCTTTTATAATAATATAAATAACTTTCTTAACCTTATTAGCCTTATTAAAAGCTCTCTATTAGCTGCCTCTCTCCTTGCCTTTCCTTATCCCTTATTATAATATTAGGTTCTTCTTTTTAATATTAATTAAATTATATTTTATATTAGGCTAGTATTAAATCTACTTTATAAAGAGGCCTAGTTAGGTAATTAACTAGACTTTAAGGCCTATATTAATAGGCTTATTAAAGGCATATTTAAATTACTTATTTCTTTTATTATATTAAATTATACCTTTATTTATAATAAGATATAAGCCTAGGTTATAAAACTTTATTATTATAAATTTAATATATTAAAAGTATTACTTAATATATTAAAAAATAATAAAAAGGTTATTATTATTAATAAATTTAATATAATTAAAAAGCTTAAAGTAATAATAATATAATTAAAATTAATTATAAGTTATTATTATAACCCTAGTAGTTATCTTATATATATCTTATAAAAACTATATAAGGTGCTAGCCTTAAAAGGACTTATAAATGCAATATTAGCTAATTACTAGCCCTATTTCATTAAAATAATAATATTAAAATATAATAATTTAGAAATATAGCACTTTAGGAATAACTAATCCTAGGACTTATTATTCTTTATATAATTACTTTAATATATAAATATATTTATTAGTACTTTTATAAATTCTAGCTTACTAGCTATTAATATAGCTTCTTTACCTTAATAAGCCTAAAAAATAAATATAATATCTAATACTTACTTTTATATTAAGGATTATATTATTATATATACTTTTTATAATTTTATAGTTATATTAAGAAGATAATAAGTATTATATAATATCTTAAACATTATACTTATTATGTCTTTATAAAATTAACTTAACTTATTATAGCTATATACTATTAATATATTTAAGGAGCATCTTTATAATTAAGAATAAGTTTCTTCTAACCTTAAGCTTTATATACCTTTATATCTCCTCTTAGGTTAAGATATTAAAGTAAAATTAGTATATATTTTATTCTTTATTATATTAGCTCTAAGAGACTAACTAAGGTATTATATATATTTAAATATAATAATATTAGTTAGTACTATAAGCTATAAATAAAGGTATATTATTATTTTATAAGTAGTATTTTAATAGGCCTAAGTTATAAATTAAATTAATAATAAATTATAATAAAAAAATAAATTATAAGATATAAATTAATATTAAAATAGATTTAATACTTACTAATTATTTAATTATGCTATAAATTATAGTTTTATTTACTTTATATATATTTATTTATTATAGTTAATTCTTAATAGATTTTAATTATTATTTTTTTATTATTACTTAAATTTAATAAAGATATTTATAATTCTACTAACCCTAGCCTTACTTGCAATACTAAGTTAAAAAGGCCAAGATAATATTCTTTTTTTTCTTATAATTAATATTTATAAAAACCTCTTTAACTTTATAAGTTATTTTAAGTTAAGTTAGCTATTAGCTATAATTAAAAGTAAAAACTTAGCTTAAAATAATAGGTATTATTTTATAATAATTACTTAATATTATATAATATAATTTAAATAAAAGCTATTAATATATAATAATTATAATTTCCTAAGAAATAAACTAGTTTATATTAGGTTTATATTAATAAATAAAATATAATATAATATTAGCAGCTGTGATGCTGTTAGCGGTTGCGGCCAGAAGAGGGAAAGTCGGGTCGGATGACTTACTGCGGAAGCGTGATGGATGATTGAAGCGTGACTTTGAAGTGGGTTGAAGGAAGAAGGTTGGGGCCAGCTGATGGGCAGGTAAGGCTTTTCAGCTGGCATATATACAGCTAGGTTCAGGCTGCAATTGAGGCAGCTAACTATGATGATTTGACTTAATAAAGCTTTGCTAGCTATAGGGGCAATAAATATTTAAACTATATTAGACTCTAAAGATACTTAGATATACCTTTTAAGGCTAACTTATAAACTTAAAAAAAAAAAATTTTTTAATATAATATTAAATTATATAAAGTATTATATCTTTTAATAGTTAATAATATATATTAGGCTTATTAAGGTAAAGAAGTTATATTAATAATTAATAAGTTAAAATTAATAAAAGTATAAATAAATATATTTTATATATTAAAGTAATTATATAAAATATAATTAGTTTTAAGGGCAAGTTATTCTTAAAGTAATATATTTTTATATTATTATATTTTATTATATATTATTTTAATATA